ATATGTGAATACCTATATCATTTTGACTTGCCACATCAAGCCATGTTGATACGTTGATACGCCTACTTCCACTAAAAGTGACTCCGTTCCCCACCGACGAATCTCCACACAAATAGAATATGCGATACCTTACGGCTTACATGATAAGTTGTATACGACCAGAGGGGGATTTAGTGGTAGTGGGAGTAGCTCAAGTCAGCGTCAAGGATTGATCTGGCAAGTCTGAACAAGACTGATTTTGACCCAATCAATAAACAACCATCGCTCGCTAAATGCCGCTAAATGGTAAAACGTATTTATGTTTATATGGGGTCAAATTAATTAGATGTACACATAATTAGACTGCGAATTTTATGTATTTATAGAAAAATTGATGAGTATTTAATGCGAGCGTTCGGCAATACACGATACGAAGTGTCTCGGTTATTTGTCTGCTGTATATTTGCATAAAAATCCGCAGTCTACACATAATAGTTTTATGTGAATATAAATTTAATGTTGCAAACTTTGCATACAGATGAAATAACGTATTAATAAAAATAATACATTTTTTATCAATAGATGGTGATAAGAATGCCGTATGTCAACCCCCGCCTGCAAAGAAACAGAGGAAGCAAGAGTTCAGGGATGCTTGGCTGCAAGACGATTCATTTAAGCCGTGGCTGGAACGATGTGAGGATGATCCATATAAAGCCCGGTGCAATTTTTGTAATAAGAAATTAGGAGTAGGCAGATGTAATTTGTTGAAGCATAAAGATTCAGTACAGCATGCAATAAATACAGGAAGAGCGCAAGGAGAGGTATCGGAGTTGGCTAATTATTCTGTAAAGAAGGCGGAAATAAGATTTTCACTGGACGTTGTCGAGCACAATAGAAGCTTCCATTCCTACAATCACTTCGTAAAAATGTTGAAGCAGGCAATACCAGATTCCGAGATTATGAAGAATGTTTCCCTTGGAAGAGGGAAAATGACTGGTATTGTAAAGAATGTTATCAACAAGGCCATAATTTTGAAAAACATGGCAGCAATGAAAGATAAATTCTTTTCGATTTTACTGGATGAAAGCACGGACGTTAGTAACACGAGGCACCTTTGCATTCTGGCGAGATACGTGAATAAGGGCAAAATAAACACGTATGTTTTAGATTATTTACATATTAAAGACGGGACTGCGGAGAATTTATACAAATGTTTAATGTACGCGTTAGAAACACATAACTTGAATGTTAACAATATAGTTGGAGTTTGTGCAGATAACGCGAGCATCATAGTAGGCAAAAATAACTCCGTGCTTTCCCGGTTACTAGAAAATAATAAAGAAATAGCTGTATTTCCTCGCGTGTGCCATTCGATACACATAATCGCGTACGAAGCTACCAAATGTTTACCATCGTACGTCGAATCATTTCTACACAAAATACATACCTATTTCACTAAGAATCCGAGGAAGCAGGTGAACGGGCAACGGATAATGAAAAAAATTGTACAGCCAAGTCCGACGAGGTGGTTGGCACTTACAGAGTACATAAAGTCGATTCTCATTCAATGGGATCTGCTTCATACTCTATTTGAAAAGACTGTGAGCGAAGCGGAATCAAATCTTGCGCGTGATATACTTGATAGACTAAACTGTAAATTGACTAAAGCATACCTCCAGTTCTTGAGTCGAATGTTAAGTGTCACTGCGAAATTCAATGTTATATTTCAAAGCCCAAAAATACCGCTTCATTGTCTATTAATAGAATGCAATAGATATTTAAGATACATAGGTAACAATTTCATAAAATCAAATGTTATCGAAACGGAAGTTTTACATGAAATAGACATAGTCAGTGAAAGAAATTTGCTCCCTGTAGATAATATAATCGTCGATAGCGAAACGAGAAAGTCGATACAGAAACTTAAAAACACACAAAATGCGGAAGAAATAAAAGAGTTTTTTGGCTGTATTAAAAAGTTTTATCAGACTCTCTATGCAGGCGCTATTGAAAGGCTACCATTTACAGAAACATTTTCTCAATCTTTCGATTTCTTAGATCCATCTACGACTCTTTATATTCCGAATCACCAAGATCAATTGGATCGAATAATTGACAAATTCCCATCGAAATTTGACAGGCAATTAGTCAAGACAGAATGGCAGGATATGGCCATGCATTTTAGTCCTGAAGAAAAGAAGGAATTGGCCCAATTAGACATTACGGAATTTTGGTATCGCATGAGTCAGATAAAGGATTGTAATGACAGTTATCTATATTCGAACGTAGTGAAACTTGCTGAATTGTGTTTGTCGTTGCCGCATTTGAACGCGGACGTCGAGAAATTCTTCTCCGTGATCATAGAGATAAAGAGGAAAGATAGAAATAGAATGAATACGAATATGATTTGCGCCTTAACTAGGATTAAAATAGATTTCAAAAATGAGAATAAAAATTGTGAAACATTTGAGATAACTACGGAAATGTTAGATCTGTTTAATTCGAAGATGTATCATAAAGATGTTGTGCCAAAACAGTTAGAAGAAATTATTGTACTGGAGGAGAACCTTGATAAAAGCAGCAACAAAGAAGATAATTGATGTGTTATATTAGTTGTACTCGTTATTTATAAAATGTTCTACATAAGTATTAATACACTGTGTGACTGTATGTCTGAATGTCAGTGTATGTATGTCTACAACACCTGTTTAAGTTCAATATAAAATTATAAAGACGTGTATATTATGTATTATATGTGTACGTATGTATATAATTATAATACGTTATATATTTTGCATAAATTAAAAATATTTTTTATGTGTCTACCGCTTTTCTCTATAAATAATATTTCCTCTTACTCTGCATCTTGTCACTTTTCCTTATTTCTTATCAAACGACGTTTCTGATTCATCCCCATATTTTAACCCATTCTGGGAATGCTCTCCTATTAATATATTCAGACGCATTTCAAAGTAGAATAACGTTTTTAATACAAGATCAATCAACTTCATTTCCTTCGGGATGAAGAGAACAAATTCGCAACCCTAATTTTGACGGAGGTCAGTGACCTAATTTCGCGTATCAGCTGGGTATTGTAATTGTAAATCTTACCATGCGTAAAGATCCATTGGCGGGGGAATCCGTGTCGATATGTAATACGAGAGACTTGAGAAAAGCTCGTATAAACGTTGAGTTTTCCTTTATTTAGCCTCATACAATACCTGACGTCAAATCATGCGGTAAATTGGCTATATAGAGAGATAGTACCGAATCGATACCTCATCTAATCTCTCTTTCAAAAAAAAGCACGAGAGACCCAAGAATCGGAGAGATCATAACACATACAAATAAAGTACCCACCACACAGAAACTCAGAGCACGTCCCTGCGGCGTGCAGATACCTGACATAACCCTTTCCCTGAGTCAAACGTGATTTTGTTTGTATACAAACTTTCAATGCATTCAATGGTTTCACAGTAGTAACTTTATAATGTTCACATTGCTGGGTGAAGTAAACTTATGGAGTTTCGACGACAATATAAGCATAAAAAGCACAGATTTCGGTGCATTTCGGTGAGATGGATTTAAGTATTTGTAGTGTAAATATACAATTTTCATTAATGTAACAAAGAAAAATGTTTCACGATTCCGTGGCAGGTATCATGATAAGCGTATTGATCATTTGCACGAGGAGGGCAAGCGATCCTATTGTCAAAAGCGTGGCATGATATATGTGCCGACAAATAAAAAAGGAAATAAATTAAAGGATTCCATTAAATATCTCGAGGTAATATTGTACAGTCACCTGAAATGATTTCCAATCTACTTGGTATTCAAACACGACCTAAATTAAAGCTAAAGGTCCCAGAATTATGAATAGACCATCTAGAAAGTTATAACATTATTTCTAATGCAAATTCGTCACTAAGCATTTTCTATAATACTGGTCGATACGAAGAAAAATTCTTATATTAAAAAGTTCTACTAATACCAAACTTAGGAAAGAACTGTATAGATTTTGGATGTTTAACTTTCTGATAAGTTCTTCAATGAAGATATAAATAGAATAAGGAATTCTACTGTCTTATTCTTATAACTATAATGAAATATATAAACATAGTAAAGACACAAATATAATTAAAGGACAGCGTATTTGGATACAAAGATTCTACTACTTCAATTGCAGGAATTTTAATAAAACATCACTTAAATTAAATTCAGAAAGATGCTAAGTGTCGGGAATCGTTTTGAATACCATAGTATAAATAATAAAAAATACAAGTGTCTCTTGTTTACTATATTGAGCTTGTTTTATAGGAACAATTGAAAGATAATTCAATAATATATTGCCAGTGGTATGACGACTGTGTTTTACAGTTAATGTTAAGCAATGCTTTATTGATACAAATACAAGTGAACATTATGANTATATGTGTGGTAAACAAATCTTAACTGCTTTCTATTATTTTTAGTGATAATTACTAAGAATTATATACTTTGCACTTATAATGATAATCAAGTAACTGTCGTGCATTTTACAAGATCGAGGAGACACATCTTTGATAAAATTAATAGGCTTGAACCAAAATTGTCTACAATTGATCTGTTTGGTGCTAACGGCCGTAGATTAGACAAAAAAGTACAAACTAACAAATGTGGCGATCTGGTAAGTATATTTAAAACGTTTTATTATTCTTTAAATAATTAACTGTATTTATATAATATGATTCAAATATTGTAGATATTAACATGGTGGAAGTCTACAATGAACGAAGTTTATCCCTGGAGTCCTGTTGTAAAAGAGCACGATCGTGCTAACATTCATCTTTACCGTATAATAGGGTACACAGATTTGTTTCAGTTTCCTTTTTTATTTGTTACTCTGTATTTGCAATGTATTTTTATTTTCAGAGTAAAATTAGAATTAATTTGTTACATACGTAGTGAGTTTGATCCCCTGTGCATAATGTTTGACGCATGTAATGATAATGTAATTCACTCTGTAGAACAAAAAGTCTCGAGAAAGGTAGTTCTGTTATTTATTGACAATATTATTTTGATAACATTTATATACAATTATGATTACTATTTAGGGAGAAGTAACTATAGAATGGCGTACCTATGAAGTCTCTCAACAAGATAAACTTCAAAGAATTGGAATGATTTCTGTACCATTGCCTACGCATACAAGTTGTGTAAAATTCTCCCCAACTCAGGAATTATTATTATTATGCTGCATAGATGGTTCTGTTGTAATATATGATCAAACTAGAGCTACTATCATCAGTGTAAAAGCAGCTTTTGTAAGATATTCATAAGTATAAAACGTGGGGATGTGCGAATATTCCGAGTACCCGAGTCTCGAGTCGGGTCAGACGGGATCATGAAACCCCGTACCCGGAACTAGGATCCCGCATATCCCTAAAAACTGAATATGACAAACTAGATTTGTTAAATTACGTGTATTTTCAAGATCCCTACATTGGCATCATGGCACAGTGATGGAATGATATTTGTTGTTGGAAATGATAAAGGTCAATTGCAACACTTCGACATTGCCTTGTCATGTATTAAAAGTCAAACGTTAAGTGAAGAAACAGTACAAGCAAATATTCTCGACCTGTCTTCGTATTTTAGGTAGTATTCGAAATTTAAATAGCCGTCAGTATGATAATATAAAGTTTATATATTTACTTGTAATTTAGGATTCAACCAGCATTGCTGCGTATGGAATGGAACAAAAAGAATGATCTCAGTTGCTACATTGATGTACATAATCACGGCAATTCTCTGTTATTATTAATTTTTCAACGGTAAGACATTATAATATTTCTTATAAAATAATAAAGGATAGGGTAGAATATTAATATGACATATTAATAGAGGACCTATAGGTGTCATAAAAGTGTTAGAAGGAAATTCGTTCACCGGTGATGTGTTGGTCAAGAGATATCTATCTCTGTCGCAAGTTGAACAAGCAACGTCTTTATTATTGTCTATGAATTGGGACACTCATTCTCGTGCCTGCATGCATGCACTCAATCAGATTGTAAATTATTTGTTCAAGCTGCCTTTGACAACGGAACGTGAAAGTAAAATTTATATTAAACAGACTACTATACAGACTTCCCGGCAGTCGACATAATATGATTACATGAATAATTTGATTTTCTACAGATCTCATACAGAATGCGTTAGGTAGTTTTCATGTACCTGTTAAACCAATTAGTCAAGCCATCGAAGAAGAATACGGAGAAGAGATAAGAGACTTAACGAGACGATTCTTCCATCATTTACTAAGGTATCACACTCATTTATTTTTAAAGGAATTAAAAGTTAATTCGAAAATATTGCAGGTATCATATGTTCGAGAAAGCTTTCAGACTTGCTATAGACCTAAACGATCACGACCTTTTTATGGACATACATTTCTACGCATTGATCGTGAACGATACGGCCATGGCAACTGCAGCAAAAGAAAATGCCGAGCGTATATTAAGTAGATCAAACAGTTGCAGCAGTTCACGTAAGAATAGACGATATATTTTACGGAATATCTGGTTGTTTCATTACTGATGTAAAGAATTTTTAGATTCCACGTGCTCTAGAGCATCGTGTTCACTGTGTTCTGCTTCTATAAGTGATAAAGGAGAAGAATCTTGTAGTGACGAAAGTGAAAATTCGTCTAAAAAAAATCAGACTGATATGAAACAATCAAAGATTTATAAGAAGGAGTCCAACAGCCAAATTCCTCCTTTACCAGTTCTCAATCCACATTCCCTCAACAAGAACTTGTTGTCCACATCGTTCACTGACGTCGCGCCCATTGAAAAGTCAGATTGTAACTTAGAGCCAAGATCCTTTACTATACCTAGTAGCACTCTCACAACTTCATTTAATCATTCGTCACATCTCTCGTTATCATCTACACGTTTTATACCATCATTCAACAAAGCAATATTTAAAGCTCATGGAAATTCAGCATCGTTATCTGCAATGACTACGACAAATATTGCGCATTCTCTTAGTAATATTTCTGGCGACTTAATGACAACTTCGTTTGGAAGCGTATCTATAAACGATAAAAAAGCATCCAATAGGTTTAATGAAAATGCTGTGGATACGACGTTTAACAAAGTTGTGCGTAGCGAAATGCAAGTGCCTCGTGATAATGCATCGAATGACACAGTAACTAATTTGGTGCAAGAGAATAATTTTATGTCGACTCCTTTCAACAATCCAACGTATGAATCAACTAGTCATTCAGAGGCTTCGTCTGATCTGTTAAGATCTTCCTTAGACAGCATAGACAATAACATTATGTCTACATCTTTCAGTACATTTAGTACAGACATTTCAAATTCGTATGATAACGCAACGACTGCTAAATCTGATTCAAACTCTGCTTCGTCGCCTTTAAAAAATTTAAAATCTGGTACGGTCAATGAGTTTGCATCTAGAACAGTTTCTGATTCTGTCATAACGAGTAAAGTAACATCCAGTTTTCATAATAATCTCGCGTCGACTTCTTTCAATTTTCTCGGCACTCAGGATTCTGGTAGCTCGAAAAGCTTTAATAACGAAGATCATAATGTTATTAAACCGCAATCCTTTCTGGGGAAGAAACAAATGGATTATAATGTTCCACCACCACCTTCTTTAACAAATTCATTCACGAATTATTTCCAGAGTCTACCGAAAAAGAATCTTCCTTTATCTAGAAGTACGCCTGGATTAACAGATATCGATGAGTCGATTAAAAAATTTTCATCTATCAGGACAAGTCTTACTTCGTACGCGTTACAGAGGCAAAGTTCTGCATCTAATATTTTGGAGCAGCATAAATACAGCAATATTAAGCCTCCTAAATATAGATTGAACTATGATTTTGATTACGTTTCGCTTCATGGAAGTTGTGACAACATCGATATACATTCCTCTACTAACAATATAAAACTAGGTAGTTCACAGTTTTCTTCCACGTATGGTTTACAAAGTAGATTTGATAACAGGCATTCGAAAGTAATATCACAAAACGGTACAAATACTAGCATCAGTAAAGACTTCAAGATCTCTTCTAACGTTCCACCTCTACCAGTTATATCTACTTCCACTTCCAGTTCTGTGTCCTGTTCTCCCTTCTCTACATTTACGGATACGATAGATACAACATTAGCAACAAGTGAAAAGCCGAAAGTGAAATTCTCAAATACAGTAACACATATTTTGGTGCCTGGCACAGTAAGTGTAGTTACGTATAGAGAATAGAAAAAGGTACTTCGTTTTATTATTAATTCGTATCTTCTGCAGGGTCAATCGCATAAACAAAAACGGTCTACGATTACTCAAGTGCATTTGACTGATCCAAAACGCGAATTAGCGGAAAGCCTTCCATTGTGCCTTGGAAACGAAGATTATCTTAAAGATTTTCAACCATTACCAAGTAAGTATCAAAATTTAACTGTTATAATCTTAGACTGCGGATTTTATTTTTTTATAAGAGAAGTGCATCTGCAGAAATGATAATACGTGTAGCATGTATTGGAAGCTAAATGTATATTGAAATATTTAAATGATAAATGACACGTTTATCTAAAACATATTTTTTAAGTGTTTTATTTCGCATAAAAATCCGCAGTCTGGTGATCATACTTGAATAATATAATACGTTTTATAGAAGAGGATAGTAACAACAAAGTGAAAGAAGCTTCAAGACCAGAAGAGGGTTCTAAAATAAAAGTTGTACACTTTGGACTTTTATAAAAGAGATTTAAATTGTAGTATATAAATTAGAATATTAAAAAAAAAGACACATGTATAGATATATGAATTATGTATATACATGAGATTGTATTTACATGTATGTACTTAGAATTTACGTGAAGACTATTTGTATATGTACTTACATTTTATATGTACATACATTTTTTTTATATAATAAATTTTTTCAAGTTTTATTACTAAATTGTTTGTGTCTTGTTAGGCGAAGTACTGATCTCTTGTTCTATGCACTGTATCGGAAATTAAAGTTGCTTCAAATTATAATACTAAATAAATTGCCTAGCATTAGATGAATTAAAAGCGAAACTTTATTTCTTCTTCTATGTACACTAAAATATTATTTGCCCCTGTTCTGTAGTAATTCGCTTAATGCAGCTTTCAAGTCAACTAATTCCTTATTTGGTATGATGCGTTTCTTTTGTATCAAAGGATCATATTTATCTATAGTTAAAGAAACTCCTTCAGGCAAGGCTGCTTCTAATATCCTAACAAATATAGGGCATTTTATAGATGTTACATTTGATATTTGCACATCTCTTTCATAAATCTTTAAATTATACTCGGCATCTGTTAGAGATGATCCTTTTTTATATCTATTTATTTTAAATTCTCTATGTGGGAAAGCAAAACTAGAAAGACAAACAAACACACGTGGAATTAGATTATGCAGCATTTAATTAAATTCTGAATTTCAAGCGTAACATTACCTGTCTTCGACAGTAACGTTCAATATCTTCGCTATCTTATAGATGAAACTTTGGTAATTTTCAAGTAAAGGATATTTATATCCCCGAATTTGCACATTCAAAAGAGGGTAGACTTTTATTGTCGTTTCTTTTTTCTACAACCAGCAAAACAGAAATTAATATTTCTCTGTCAATCATGCAATATGAAGTTGTTTAGTCCAATAGCAGTCACAGTATATTAATTCACAAACAATTAATAAAATAACCTTCAAGTACGGTGGGTCGTATACGCCATAAGACCTCACAGTTGTATTAAACAAGGGACAGCGGCAATATGTTGTAACCTGCAGTATATAAACAATTTGTTCCAATTACATTCTTCGTGGAAACATCGTATTTTTTAGATTTAAATAACCTCATTCTTCACAGAGAAAAGTCTGCATTTACCTGTTTTAAATTTAACACCATTTTGTATCAATAAAACTAATATCGAAAGTTATTTAATCTTTCATTAAATATAATTTTAATAGTTACTATTTATATTAAACTAAGCTTACAGATTTAGAGTATATCAGATATATATACAACACACAGTTTTAACTAATATTAAATCTTATAAGGTGTGTGTGATTGTTTCAGTGTGATCTTGTATCCAGATCACACGTGCGTAAAATTTGAGGTTTCACTAATAGTCAACGCACGGTGCTGTGGTCGAAATTCCTCAAATCTGTCATATTGAGTATCCGATCTACACTTTATTTTGTTAGTGCGTTCCGCTTTCCACCACTTTCCACTTCCGGAGCTTGGACGGTAGAGTCAGTAGAGTGGGGCAAAGCAGAAGTCCGACAGAAGGGAGGAGGTTGTGTTGAACATTGTTTAGTTACTGTAAAATGTCAGCGGTTTCGATTTTGCCGGCTTCCCAAGAGATTATTCACGTCGTAAATGAAAGTAACTTATGTAAAATCGAAAGGTACGTATTCTGAACGGGATAAAATGCGGATTCTCCTTTTCGTAGTTCAGCGAAGCTTTATGCGTTCACTATCGATTTTCTCACAGCTTCCTCAATGACACGGCATACAGGGAAGCCATTGAAAATTCTTCCACTTATAATAGCCGACTATGCAGGGAGCGACGTTTGCGTATGCCATTCCTCGATTCTCAAACAGGTATTAGTTATCATAATTTTTTTATGAAATTTATACACATATATTTAAACCCTAATGCCTTTGTCAATTCTTCACCCTTGTCTTCTCTTATTCCTTCCTGTCTGTAATTGCTGCCTGTAATTTTTAATCCAATATAAAGTGAAAAAAAGCTGGATCCTTAACGTATTTGTTATTTAAAGTATCAATCTTGTCTTGTTATTATTTGAAAATAAAAATTCATGGTTGGAATCCTTTGAGGGCCTTTTATAATAGTCTTGGTAGGTTCAGATCTGACTATGAATAAAACATGTACGTTTTATAATGTAGATAATTTTTTTTTACGTGGAATGATGATTTTGCTATTACAATGCGACTGCTATGAAATTGTAGGGGTAGCACAGAATCATTCTGCGCTATTTATGTCAGCGAGAGAAAGACTGCCTGGTTTGCTACATGGTCAGATATACACATATCCCAGTAAGAGATGGAGAAAAAAACGGCGACAGTATTTGATGCATTATTTGCATCCAAAGAGAGGACCAAGAGGTGATATCGAGGAAGTCGGTGAGGGTGTTGAGACTATAACTCATGTAAATGATGACAGCAAAGATTCGGTGGCACTTAAAGGTGATTATTGTTTGATATTATCTGGTGATATTTTTTGTCAATAGCACATATTCATCGTATTTGAAAAATGTTGAAAATAAATTCTATGCATTATGTCAACAGATGAACATAGTAAAGATGCCTGGTACTATGATGAGCAAGACATGTTGGATATAGATACGTACGAGGAACCCGATGCTGAAAGTGATTACGATTATGAGGAAAGTTACAGTAGTAAAAGGAAAAGAAGGAAACCTCGCGGAGGTGGCCATCATCCTGCTCGAAATCATCCATCTTCCACAGACAGTCCAGGGGGCAAACGTACTAAGGTAATCTCGGATCTTACACTTGTTACACAGTTATATGCATTACAAAATTTCATAAAAATCGATGGAAGCATAAAAAAGTTATTCCGCTTCCGTCTGAACATTAATGGGAGTATTTAATTATTTGAAAAATATCTAATTTATTTTATTTTGTTCGATACAGGGTGGGGGACGTGGGCGCAAAAAAACCAACTATGACGCTGTTGACACTGATAAGCCATTCGTTTGTGACCGTAAGTTTAATCACAGATACAACTACAAATGACCACTTCCTGTTATTAGTTTCATTACAAATATTATTATTAGTTTTATCAGTTGTTAATTTTTAAATAAGAGAAAGAAAATGCATTGCGTTAGAAGATTTGTTAATCTTATTAAAAAGAAAAAAATATGATATTTTTAGACGCCTACGTATTAATTTACAATACGCGCAGAGGTTTAGTATATAGTAATATATAAGATGATTATTAAACGCTCGAAATAAATTACGAAAGATTTTAGTCTTACCGCATAATTTCTTGGGGAATGGTGATTGAACTTAAGTATGATCAACTTTATAATGCGGGAAGGTAGCCCTGTTAGTCGTAAAATTAATTCTTCAAATCACTTCTAGTGCTCTTTCATTCAAAGGAATTGATCAGTATCGTATTGACTGCTGTTTTCCTTCAAGTTTATTACAGTACATTCCAGTCCTTACTGTGTAATGTCTATTTCTATATCGAAAACCTTGCGCTCCATATCTCTTTTCCTATTTGTCGAAGTATGAGGAGACGTGGTATGATTCATGAATGAAAGGCAAAGATTGTTTATGTACATTGAAAAATTTCGAGTTTGTAGATAAATATGTACAAATCGGGAAACCAGGTTGTATGAAATCTCAATGAAACAGTGCATTGGAAGTTAAATTATGCTCTAGAATAGTAAAAGTTAAATTATGCTATACATATCGCAACTTAGCGTCGTAACTCGCGTAAATTCATCATTCATTAGTAAATATTTATGAATTGCGACCTAATACTATAGTGTTTATTCATAGTAACATCTTATGAATATACTTTTTTTATTTTTTTTATTTACCACAACGTTATGTTTATAGTAGTAGTATTTATGAGACAAAGAACTTGGATAGTCCTACGAACGAATAATGCCGCCCAAATCTTGAAGGAGTATAATAGTCACTACTAATTTGATCGAACTTTTTCCAGACATGAAGTCTATAAATTAACTCGAATGTGCCTGCAATCTGTTTACTTCTTAAAACCACTCCTGTTAGATTAGCAGAAATGAAAAATCTAAAGGCATTTGGTCTCTACTAGTAAGCCCCCCCGATCTTCACAAACTTTCAGCTGAGAGATTTTTTTTTACTTCCGAACTATGGAGTCGCGGGCTTACGAAATTGGCCAAATATCTTCGGACCTCTGAATTACCTGCCAATAACAGAGCAAGAATGTACTGGCTCACACTGTAGCGAGCTCATTCTGTAGGAGTATACAAGCATCAAGCCTTGCATCGTATTAGTTTTGCTTCTTGGGCTGGAACTCCTTCACTGCTTGTCCACATATAGATTCGTAGGTGGATAGGGATATGTACTTGGTGCGGAAGGTGTGCAAATGCTGTCCCTCGTCCATTAAGCTTCTCTCCTGAAATCTTTTAACCGCCTCGTTTCTCCAAATCCGTACTTTAACAATCAGTCGGTCGTTGAAAAAGATATCTGTGGTGTATTTTATGTTCTTTTGTCGTACTCAAATACATGGACCCAGTAATTATATCCATTACGAATTGGCAATATTTTGAGATTATTAAGTCTTCCGACTCGGCGGTTAAACGAGCATATCCTCCCAACATCGTCCAACCAACTCGTCGACCAATTATCATGGACGTTGCATTAGATGGTTTGTGGGAAAAAACAGTATTTGCACTTTTGCAGTATGCAGCGCACGGTATAAAACCAGACCTGGTCTGGTCTACCATTACGGTCATTCCCACTCTACTTCCTCCGGTGATCCTGCAAAGGAACTAAGTCCCAGTCCTGCCGAAGTTGAACCTAGGAGCGTTGCAGACACCGCTGCTTCGAACCAGCCAGGTTGGAGCCTAAATCAGCTCAGTTTTCTCACTTTCCTTTAAAAAAAACAACAACAAAAACCAGATCAAGACAAGAAAAATACGCCAAACTCATTTCCCCGATCCTGTGATGTCTCTTTTTAATCCTCGATGCCTTATGATCTTTGATCTTTTTCGATCCCAATTTTCTTGCAACTAATTGTTCATAGAGATCCTCTTGAACAACATTTTCCTATAATTTGATGGAGTTAAAATATATTCTTTTCTTCTTCTTGTTCGTCTTTTTTATATTCTCTCTCTCTCTCTCTCTCTCTTTCAAATTTACGTGTATTGCAAATGCATGCATTGCAAATTTAGAATTTTTGTGTGTACTTATTCCCAAGGTGTTTATCAGGGATGTACGAAGTCTTACAATATTCTCTTCTTTTCGTATTGGTAAATTATATATCGTGAAGGTATCATACGGAGAGTATCATTTAAAGTCAGTATGATACGAACGATTTAATTATCATATGTGTATTCGTTTTATGTTGACTTTTCAGGATTCTCGTTCGTTCGAACGAGATCGAGATACGTTTTGCAATAGCATGCTTCTGCAACTTTTCATTATTTTTTCTTTCACGTGTTTTCATACGTTGAGAGAGAAAAAAAAATCGATTTCTGGAATTCGTTCTCTTTGGTGCAATCGTTTTGAGTGTTTGTATGTGTGTGCGTATATTCTTTTTATTTTACCAGACGACTGGTGCCATTTCGCAGCATGCAACGATCGCTATTAATTTTCATTTGAGGTTTTAACTATTACCCTGTCAGAATTTTACGTTTTCATTAGGATGCTTCCTGTCTGCATTACAGGTAGTGATGGGACTTGAAAAGATTCGAAGCTTAGAACCCTTGAAAGTTTTATTAAGTTGAAAGTATGAATCGTCTTGGTCATCTTGAAAGTTTTCAATATATTGTTAGAAATAAAAGTCGTGAAATTTAGACAAGCATTTGATATCCGAAAAGCTGTTCTTTATTTTTGAAAATATGAAAAAATATTTCTGAAGTTTAAATTATTATTGTAAACTTCTTAAGTTTTATATTGTCTTTTTTGTTAACTTATTAAGACAGACCAGGACGATCAAGACTCCAAAAACTTTTAAGTTATTCGAGAATTCTGGAAATATGTTGAAATTATTACAAGTTTCCATAATCTTGAAAAGCTTCGATTAGTTTCGAAGTTTGAACGTCCATCACTAATTACAGGAGTAACAGTTTGGCTTCGTTTTCTCCTTTCGACGACCTCAAATTTATAAGAAAAAAAATTGCATGAAAAATGTGTACTTCTATTTTCTTTCTGTATGCCTTTGTGAATTGCCAAACGTAGTGCCGTTTTGTACGATATTTCGAAACAGTTTGGAATTTAACTGAATCTCGGTGTTACGTAATGTTGTACTCGGTCTTTCTGGTGATGGAATGCATTCGAATGACGTAATATGCATCTTGTTACAATCATTATATCTTATACATATCATATTGTACGTATTTCATTTTTTCCTTATTGTCATGTCATTTTCTTTTCGATAAAACATTTGTGATGCGTCGAATAATCGATTCTGGTTATCGGATAAGCAATTTCGTAGTTCATACGAGTGATTGCCTCTTACGTGAATTCTTCAGACGCAAACTGTTGCTTTCCCTCATCGTGTCTGCGGATTTTTATTCATTTATAAGAGATGCAAGTGTGCTGAAATTCGAGTACTGCACACAATGTGCAAGGATGTACAAAATATTAGAAGCAGTACTCGTGTTAATATGTTTGATGAATAAAATTGAAATATACCTAGAATTCATTCTTGCACATTCAATCTTAGATGTTTTATTTTGAATAAAAAAACAGAATATGCAAAAATTATAAATGCAGTTTAAAAAACTTTGGGGAATATTAAAAGCTAAATGCTTATTTTAATGTTATAATGATGGAATATTATCTGAAACACNAATACACAATAAAAGTAGTTGCGAGTCAAATAAAATTGTATCAAGAAGTGCCAAAGCCATATATTAGAATATTAGAAATTATTCGTTAAAAATTGCCGGATTTAAAGGAACACGTCGAACAATTTGATGAGCCTCAATTCTCTGTAAATATTTTCAAACATTTTTCCTAAAAATTCATCGCTTCAAATGTTGAACTTTTCCAACATTTCCTCAAACATTTGGCAGAAATCTTACGGCTCATGCAATCTTAACCACGTTGAAAAACCGAATCGATTATCGGTGGTCGTAATCACAGAGAAATTGACTATCTAAATAATTGTCTCTAAGCCAGTGTGCATGGTCATTAGCTTGTGACGCAAAGCGCAACTGGGTATGTGGTCGGTTTGTGATCAGGTGGTACGCGTCGAGGTCGTCAGAATGCAACTTCGTCGAGCACGTCGAGCCCGTCGCCCGCGACGCCCTCGGCGTCGGTAGCGGGCGCGTCCTCGACGCAACCCTCGCCGCAGCCGCAGCAGCCGCAGCCGCCGCAGCAGCCACCTCAGCAGCAGCCTGCTACGCAGCAGCAGCAACAGCAGCAGCAGCCGCCGTCGTCACAGCAGCAGCAATTGTCGGCTTCGCAGACGGCGGTTGCTCCGGCGTCGCCGATACCAAACGTCAAGGAGGAACACCTGCCAGCGGTCTCGTCGCCCGGGACCGCCGTCCCGTCTCCGTCTTCGAGGCCGGAGGGCCCGCCGACCCCCGGGGCGAACGAAAAAAAAGCTGGCAAGTCAGCGCAACCGTCCCCGTACTGTGACTTCTGCCTGGGCGATGCTAGGGAAAATAAAAAGACCGGCGGCTCCGAAGAGTTGGTCTCATGCAGTGATTGCGGTCGCTCAGGTAAGCCAGAGGAAAAGATCAAGCGCAAGTATACGCGGAGAACGAATCACAATTAAATGAGAAAGTATTAATACCGATGGGTGTCTGTTGCGTTTCGAGCGACACAACTTGATTTCCGGTGGCGAGTCGTCTATATAACCGGAAATTGTAGCTCTTCTTCGTTTTTCGATGGTCCGCTATTCGTTGTGGTCGCGGGGACGAATATTGTTATACAGGTCCAATCGTAGAAATTTAAAATATATGCTTATTCTGTTATTATAGAAACAGTAGCTAATACACTACAGTATTTCAGTTTTAGTATGATTAGCAAGTTTTGTTTAATATATTAATAGTAATGGTTCTTCCGTTGCCTCAGTCTTCTTCCTGAAGGAGGGATAACCAGCCTTGGTGCTTCAATAATTTACTCGAATTGCAATCTTCCAGAAAATATTTCTGCCTATAGTGTTGTCCATAAATATACGTAAACGTTTCGAAATTGAATAACTCCTTTAATATTGCATTTAACGAATTAATATTTTTTTAAGTTTTCGAGCGATTAGTTTATTATTTGATGTATAGGCTGTAAATTTTATAGAAAAGTGGAATCTGCAGAAAATATAAAGATTTCGTTGAACACTAAGACAGTTCTAGCTATACAATCTCCATAAAAAGTTACATCCGTTCGAAATATAGTGTATTCTCTGATTTTGCTTTAATGGATGAAATATTTATTAAAGTCGTTTAACTACTATTTATTTTCAACTCACTTTCAATTGTTTCAGAGCATTTCATGACATTTATTATGTTTGTATAATAATATATCTTTTATTATTTTTTAAGTACTCATTATTATTGATGAAATATGTTCCTAGTTATGATAGCATAAAATTTCAAAATCCTTACATTATTTTTTCTCTAGTTTCTTGCCAGTTTAATGTAGGAATGTACGTACTTCCACTTCACTGAACTCCATAAGAACACATGTTCACTTGAAATTAACATAATTCCAAAACGAGCTACTCAATTCCTTTTAAATTTTGCATTTGAGTTTAATATAATAATAACTACTTATTTATAAAATTTCAAACGTGTGTCACTATTTTAGTCTATAGCCAGAACAGCGTCCATTGAGTCCAATATTAAGAATGTAATTCAATTTTTAAATGAATATTTATGGACTTCACTGTTTCATCTTCCCATAATAGAATACAATATCTAAAATGTACATATATTCTTATATAGAATATTTAATACTCCGTTTTAAACGTATTTCTGAGTTTAATGAATTCGTCACGCCTGTTTCTTTTCTGTAAAATCTTATAACTCAATTTTCCTTCGCTAGATATTAGGAAGGCTACACTATTAAGAATCTCCCAGTAGCGTGCAGTCTTCGAATTCATTTGTAGGAAATACTGTCCCCGCGAACACGGCTAATAACGCAACGTTTCTTTCCTATATCTTCTTAAAGTCCCGCGATCTCGGTTTACACGACCGAAAGTCGAGGGATCGTCGCGTTTCTTCGTTATTCGTCTGATCACGCGTGGTGATCACTTAATTAACTAACGATGTGTTGTCGTTGAATTGTTCGTTTGTTGAAGTGCATTCTTTTTTATTCGCACGCTCGTCAGGATCGTTTGTTCATTTTCGTTTCCCAAAAAGCGAATAAATTATTGTTATTGTCCATCGTCGTCGATTCGGCATCGTCGCGTTCTGCCGGCTCGGTCGCTATTTTTCATACCGTTAAGGATAATTCGATTCGCCAGTGATTGATAAATGAAAACAAAAAAAAAAAAGATAGTACTATTTTTCGGGATGAAGTTAGGTCGGTGAAACTAGATTCGCCGCGTGAAACATACGTTCGGAACTATCGTTAAACTGGGTAAATTCGTGTGTAAAACGGTTAAGGTGTGTCGATTATCATACACGGTTCCGCGGGGTGGACAAAATTAAATAAAAATAGAGAGAAGAATAAGAGAATGTGAATGGTTACGAGCTTTACGTACACTAGTCAAGGCATGAAAAGCAAAAACATCACTTTGTCAATGGTGCAACTTGTCGCATCTGAGTAATAGGAATTTACCACCAGATTCCTTTACTGCACGGATCAACTGTGATTTATTGTGTAATTCAATGATTAGTTTTTAAGGGACAAAAAAAAAAGTTTTTACGAAAAAAAGGAGAAACAAAAGATGAAAAGGAATAAGACGGATTAACTATATGTACAAAAGGAAGTTAACGAATTCGACACGGATATACACGAATCTCGTTCTGGATATTAAAAGTGAGGAAAGGGAGTGAAAGAAAATAAATGAAACGGGAAAAGTAGATGAAAACGTCGACGGACTAACTAATCGTACTGTTTAAAAGGGTAGATGGGGAACCTTGTACCGCGATACATTTTTCTTTTTTTATTCTGAGGAAGAAAGGAAGGAGAGCAAAAATTCCTGTTGCACAGTACCACTAGAGCACATATTGAAAAAGATGTGTTTGTGTTCCCTGTTTGACTACAGTGTAACCGCGTGTTCTTCTTTTTTACGTTGTTCTGTTGAAAATCAAAAGAAAGGAAGGATCAATAGTAGGACGAAACTTGTCGCGAGAAGTTGTTCGTTCCGTATGGTCGCCAAGTTTCAAGAGAGCTTAAACAACAAAAACGATACGATATATATATAGATATATTATATATATACACTTTATATTATTTACCGATATTATCCAGCACAGTCGTGAATCGTTTAACGAGAGCAACAATATTTATATATAAATAGTAAGACGAAAAAGAAACAAATAGGATCGACCACGTTTTTTCGATACTTCTACAACTTTTTCGAGCCTGTAAATAACCTTTTTATTTCACCTTTTTTCGAGTGTTTACAGAATATATTACTCTAAATACGACACCATAAGAGCGCAGCACATATAACACACTAGTGAACGACACTAGGAAAATGATATTCATTTCTGCAGTGCAATCATCGTCTTTCATTATAATCGCTATCCTCTTTTTTTACTTCTCTCAATCTGTTGCATCTTACGAGGAGAGATCTGAATTCAGTCGAACAACAATCCTGTTGATTTCATTTGATTTCTTTCAATTTCGACGAAGAATCTCTCGTTTGTGTCCGAAAATTGTCTTCTTTCTTTCCAACATTCCACTCGCACATCTGCTGCTCTTAAAACCTTCCGTTTCGTTCTGGGCATTAACCGTTTCCGTCTCACGTTGCATATAATACGTAATATAGTAATCGCCTTTTTATTATTCGTAATCGTCACCAAACGACGAACGTATTTATTACTGCATTACATAACGGGACAAACGGACAAGTTGTGCCGACTTGTCGCGGACGCGGAAGAGGGTGTAAAGCTGAAGTAATAGGCTCTTTCTTTCCGACGAGTTTCACCGAGTTTTCAGGCCCAACTTTTCGACCACACTTCGCGTTTTAAAAGAGTGAACAAAATATATAAAGAAAGGATGTATCTATGATATCACGTCATCATCTTAGAGACTCGATGATAGCTTAGTTTTGTACAAGCTTTGATACTCGTACAAGAAGATATATATCGTTCGAACACTAGGATTAACGCAAAAACACATACAGACAGACACACACATACACACAGGCAAGACGTGAATGAAAAAAGAAATCGTCGTTTTTGTAGTTGTAACGAGTTTTTTCATCGAAGGTCGTCGTCGTTGCTGTCCTTTACGTTACAGATTTCCTGCTGCGGTTCTTGAAACATTCTCGTCTCGACTATACTGCCTCTATAGCAATTTTCTAATTTTCACCAATCTACGTGACCAATGCAAAATAATGCAAATTGATAGCTTCTTTACAATTGCTGCCAAATAAAATTTGAGGAAAAAGAGTGACTCTGCCAATAAAGAAATTGGAAAAGGGGATCGAAACTTAGTTGAAGAAGTGAAGTGACGGAATTAAAATGAGGAAGTTTCTGGGAAAGATTCAGGGATCGTAGCAGCAGGGTTCAATTAATCAACTCCTCATCGCGAGCTCGTTTTTCCACGATCAGTAGCTGATTTTTCAATGTTACACGATTATCATAGATTGAACGAAGTAATCGTATGCAAGTTGCGATTTGTAAACGTGTACTTCGCCCCCTTGTTATTATCTTTACGGTGTCCTTACGTATAATAAAAGCGCAGCGATGATGCTAACGATTTTACTGTGTCCAACGCTGAAGAGACACGTGCAGGATTTCCTTCGGGTTTTTGTACCTCTCTGTTGAAGCGTTGTTTCTCAGAGTCATACTAGAGGATCGGGGTAAAGGAGAGGGTGAACGGCGGGAGATCTTTGTAGGGTAATTTTATAATTTAACCAGTAGCGTCGTCTCGTTGCGGTCAGAGGAAATAAATGACGATGGTGAATTCGCTATCGCGTCTTGATGACACCCTTCTATTTAACGTAGTTAAGACGAAACTCACACACACGTAAGGTGTAAGAGAGAGGGAGAGAGAGCGAGCGAGTGAGAAATTGTATACAGAGGAAAAAAGAGTAATTATGAGTATGAAAGCATGCAGAGATAGTTCCTCCTTGTTATATGAAAGAAGAGAAAAAAAAAACGAGAAGAAATGATCGAAGACTTGTTATTTAGGCAATTTTAATTAAGCAATACCCATGAGGCTTACAAATCTAGTATTTAAGTAACGCTAGTTATATATATAAATATATATATTATATATATATTATATATATCAAATGTGATACGTTATATGAGTTGCGTGTGTGTATGTTTCGTGTGAGAGCGTGTGGATGTGCGGTGTGACGGGTAGAGAAATGGGGGTGGAAGCTGCGAGGTGGGGTATGTAGCGTGGGTGAAAGACTTGAATGTGTGTGTGAGAAAATTCGTGTGAATATTAACGAGAGAAGAGAGTGTGCTGGTCCGCGACGTTTATATTGTGCTGCGCAAGAAAGAACGTGAACTATTCCAAGGTACGCACCGCTATTACTTACCACCTTACTATTCCAAATAAAATAACAATATGTTCAAGAGGCAACATCAAAAATGAAAAAAAAAAATACAATCGCAGATATCATGAAATAAAACATTCTGTGCGGAAACATAACTGAACGTTATCATTATTCCGGACGTTTTTAGTGCTGAGGAAAGGTGAAAGTTTATTGATTTTGCGATCGATCATGTAATTCGTCGCGTTTCTTTGTACATTCGGAAATTTCATTTGGAATTTGAACAGCCGTTCTGAAACGAGATAAAAAAAAAGTAATAATACGTGTATCAAATTATAGAAACAAAATGATAGCTTGGAGTTCACTGTTCTTCGGCACAAGATAAATGTCCTAGCACCTTTCTACTCGTCCAAAAATTGCTATCCTCTTTCCTGCCCATGTGCGTGTTCCATGACCTATGCTACGTTCTTGTTATAGGGCATCCGACTTGTTTGCAATTCACTGCGAACATGATCGTTTCTGTTCGCAAGTACAGGTGGCAATGTATCGAATGCAAATGCTGTTCCATTTGTGGCACTTCTGACAACGATGTGAGTATTCATTATCTTTTTTTCGGGAGCGACACGGGACGATTCTACTCCGACTATTTTGGTTTCTTTAAAAAAACAAAACATTGAATTTTAGCACTCGGTCAAATTATTTTGATTAATTCTTATTTTATTTAGTATTTCATTAATTTGATTGTAAATCAAAATAGTCTGAGAAAGATATAACAAATATGTACATGAGCAATTTCCATTTCACGTTGCTGTCGATTTTTTCTTTATTTCATTTGCCTCTCATAAGAGATTGCTTTTATATGTTTGATAATCATTTATTTAAGTAAGAAATCAAAAGTCAGCGATAAACCAAATTGCATTGGTTTAGAAGTTTGAATACGCAATATCAGAACTAGTTTTTCATTAAGATATACTTTATTTGCCTCTCATAAGTTATAAGAGATGCACTGTTATTTTTCATGTTTGATAATCATTTATTTAAAAAAGAAATCAAAAACCAACGACAGACCAAACTGCATTGGTTTTAATACGTATTATCAAAACTAGTCGTTCTTGAATCGTGAAAATAAGAGATCGCGGGGAAAATAAGTAAGTGGAATTCAGGTATCGCTGGAAGCTAATTGATTATTTCGGGAACCAAACTAGGATCAGCTGCTGTTCTGTGACGACTGTGATCGTGGGTACCACATGTATTGTCTGTCTCCACCTCTCGCATCTCCTCCCGAAGGGTCCTGGTCTTGCCGTCTGTGCATAGCAGAGTTTCATCACCGTGATTAAAAAAAAAAAAAAGAGAAATGAAACAATCTTTTTGTCTCGTAGATAAGTGACGGATTTTATCCAATATGCTGTGGTGCAGTGGCCGTTTTCGAATTAGGAGAGTATTCGAAGCTCGCGTATCTCTTATGATAAATAGTATTACGATAGATGCGGATGGTACTTTCAATCGTCGAGGAAGCATCCTTTTTTTTAATCTAAGAATATCTATAATAACATTGGCAGCGCCAATTTTGGCAGCACTAATTATACGTTTCTTTCTTCTTCTTTTTTAATTTAAGTTCCATTAACTGGGATCGATCGATGGGAAAACGGGAAAAATTGTCCCGTCGGGAGTTGGGAAATAGTAAAGGATAGGAAGATTTTGAATAAGTTTTTTACTTCACTGTTTTTCCAGTCGCGAGTCCCTTAAATAAGAAAAATAACATAAAGTATTTGTAGTTTATCGTGCTACGTTAGATTATCTCAGGCATTGGTGATCTCAGAGAACTATGATAATTACGTATTTATAATTTTAACCAGCTAGCGTTTATCAGTAGACGTACGATGTGCTCGAAGAGCCGCGTTAATAGGCGAGCATTCTCTTTCAAGCGTGCCGTTAAAGTTAATGGGAAATAAATGGGATAATCCTAGTTCAAGGACTCTGACATCAAACGTCGTCGCATCTTTACATGGACGCAGAAAGATCGGCATCCATTTATTATTTCAAAATTAAAGAGACGCGAGTCGCGTTCTCTACGGTAATTACATTATTAATATGAAGTTTTAAAGAAACCGTAATTCAACGATTTGTAACATTGACAAATACTCTCCTAGTTCCCCGGGCCGGTATTATTTTTAGCCATTGACATTCGAAGTTCGGTTGCTTTTACAATTTGCGGAACTGCTTTACACTTTTAAACGAGATCTCAAATTTTTCATAAACTCTAGCCGCCTGCGGCGTCGCCGTGGCTCGGTCCGAAGAGCCGAGCCTCGCGAACGAGACGGAAGCAGCAACAAGAGAATAGAGGAATAATTGATATTCTAGGAAGAACACGATATTTAAATAGCATCTGTTTCATAAATAGCGATAAATAGAACACTGTCTGTTTATCTGTACTGTATCATGATACTAAAAGCTTTTACACTTAACGACACAGCCATTAGTAGCGGTATAGCTAAACGAACGATACGAAACTTGTGCGGTGGTACCACAGAAGAAAAATTATATTCTATACGTCATTTTATTAATTGTTAGCTCAGTATTTTTATATTTTATACATTGAATGTACTTAATTTAAGATTATACCACGGTGATATTTGGTATTCGTCGATGTAACGCGTTCTCATTAATTCTTTTCCTTCATTCTATTCTACTTTTTCTTTTTTTTTTTTAAATTCGGTAATTTTAAGGTCGCTTACCCGTTGTGGAATTGCGTGCTAGGTAGATAGAACGAAATTAGTCTATAAACAAATTCTTTTCCTCTCGAGTTCGAAACGGATTTACGTTTTATATCGCTTATTTTTAACACACTGTATGCAAATCTGAATAAACACCAGTATACAACTGAATCACTAACTTTAGACAGTCTTATTGTGTGCCATGAATAATTTTCCGAGTGCAGGATCGTAATCGTATAACGATAGAAAAATTCTTTGGGTGCTATACTTCAGGGATTAGTTCCCTCTTCTAGGATAATAACTTTATAAGATTGAAAGTCATGTCTTTGACCAAGGAAAACTATATTCTATAATTATAACAAATAATATATATATATTTGCGAAAGTGTATAATGTAAGATAATCGTAAGGTGACAAACAATACTCAAAATATAAGTTTTTTTATAAAAACTGGATTTATATGAATCTACGATTTACGTGTACTCATTTTTGTATCATCCCACGAGCAAACGAAATACTCTGACGTTCATTATTAAAAGTCAAAACAGACACAGAGCTACTTTGATTCCCGCAATTGCGTACGCGTCAATCGATCTCCACTTGAATATCGGATAGAGACTTCCGTTGAAGGTCTGGTACCGTGGCATCCTTCGCCGGGTAACCAACCGGCAGTAGTACGAGAAGCTTTTCATTAGGAGGACGTCGAAGAAGGTTGCGGATGCCAGCTCCACAATTTAACGGAGTAGAAACCAGAGTTACCAAACCTGCGTACTAGTTTTAAAGTTCATGCATACATATTATAAATCCATATTACTCATAGAGGATACGGTATAAGTAGTATTGTAAGGCTACGGTAGCGTCCGCTTAACTGCGACGGCTTTCGTGGAATCAGGAAAATGCGAGCATGCTCTTTCGCAAGAAATTAATTCAGCGGATCAGAACGAGAGATGTTGAGCTTAAACGAGAAGGAGAAGGGACAAGTCGTAGTTAAGCGGACACCGCTGTAATTACCTGTATAGCGGTGATGAGAATACCACAAGCAATACACGTGCTCATCTCGTTGTAATAATGTACTTTTTTTTTCCCGTTCGGCAAGATTCCGTAGATTTGTTTGAACACGAGTATCAGATAAGGAGCGGTGGTCAGGTATTCTTTGATCCAATTTGTTCGGAGTGGAAGCAAATCGGCCGTCCACTTGGCTCCCATCCGTTTCTTGTAGTTGATCTCCTCCTCGTTCTCGACGATGCGCCTTATCTGTTCTTTCACATTTTTATTCGACACCACTACGAATGTCCATGGTTCTGTATGCGCACCACTGGGCGTAGTGCCTATAAGACTTAGATTGTACAACATGTTTTTACGAATGTAACAGAAGATGATTGTACCTGCAGCTTTTATTATCTCGCGTATCACTTGTTTTGGTACAGGGTCAGAGCTGAAGAATCGTATGGTTCTCCTAGCAGCTACTATTTTATAAAATTCCGAAGCTCGCGAGTACAACTCTGTTTCCGAGGGTCTCTCATATTTGTACGGGATATGCTCTAAATCTTTCGGTAGCGCGGGTTCCTCATCGTCAAAAAACGTTTCTTCGTCTACGAACAATTTCCAGTTTAAGTATTCAAATCGTACTCTATAGCCGGGATGGGGAATCTTTTATTAATTTTCTGAAATAGTGGAGGGATCTTTCGAACGAAGTGCAACACTCTGTATCGACATAAAATTTAAAAACATAATTATAATGATAATAAATAACTCTCCAAATTATTATTGAAATTAAAATTTATTACAATTATTTTACATTCACTCTGTACATTTCATTAAGAAAAATGCATTATTTTTAAAAATAATTTAATGAGTTAATTAATGAGATTTTGGGGTTTTTCAGCTAATAACTGAATATTATTTTAATATAAAAATAAATAAGGCCGTAGGTTCCCCATCTCCGTTCTATAGAACAAAGATCATATTCATTTCAAATTGTTACTTCGAGAAGAATTCCAAATTCCAGTTAGTATTAAATACCTTCTAGTTGCTCCACGTTATTAGAGTTTCTATTATTTTCAGTAAAAACGATGCCCTTTATCGATACGTAGAATAATTTTAAAAAGTAACAAGATACAATACAGATTACCACGTGGTACCAGTGTTTCGTCCAAAACGGCAAAAGTTCAGCAAACATTTCGAACAGAGAGATTTGACATTTCTTTCGAGACCGAGTATGCCATTCGGTATTTAAGTACTGAGGTTTAACGGAGAGAGATATGCATCGGAATGATGAGTGGTGGGGTACATCTGACCTAGAATAACTGGCAGAGAGTCTTATCGCTTTTCATTGGCCGATGTACCCTGTCACTCACGCTGAAGCTTACGTTTCATTCACCAGTTGAATAATTTGCGATACAACGAAATGTTTAAGTACTCGTGCCCTTCAACTATTATACGTACATATATATACGCTCTTATTTTTTTAAGAAGAGAAATAACTTTCAGTTGAATTACTTTTGTCGTCGAAAAGAGCGTAAGTTTATTGAAGCATCTAATACATCGTTAAGCAATACACGGGGAATGGTTGAATTGTTCAGCGTAAAAGACTCAGGCTACTTAGGAAAAAGAATGAACCCAACCAATGCTGGCTTAGACAATGACTTTTATTAACATCTTACTATTGTTAAAGACTTGTTATTACAAATAAAGTCACTGTTTACTTTTAACAATATACATTTATTTCGAACACGATGGACTGGAGTCAAAGATAACATTTTTTCTTCTTTCCTTTTATCCATGCCTTCCCATTTATGAGGTAAAGAAATACTATTTATTTAATAAGGACGAAAGAAAAATAAATATGCGCGAACATGGTAAGAAGGAAATGTAATTTCATCAGGTAGGTATATGAGAATAGACGTCGGAAGAACACTGCTAATTTTTCTCAAAATATCGAAATAATTTTTCAAAAAATCCATGAATTGATTTAAAATTTTGCTGGTAGCTTTTTAATAGTAATATGAATCTATAATAACAAATTCAACATGCTAGCATTGTTTAAGTATATATATATATTATTATACTATACATCCTTAAACGCTCGATGTATTCGCTTATGTCCATGCAGCAATTTTGAAATTTCATAGTTACATAAAGAAAAAAGATTTTGCGCAGTTATTTTAATGAGTTTCCTCAATCGATAATTTATCGGCGGAGTCAACAGCGACCTGTGTTGTATATTGCGCGTGGCGGCTGCGCAGTGAACGGAAACGTGCGTGTCTTCGACGTCCGTCAACGCGGATGCGAGAAAACCGTGGCAATCATGTAAAAACGCGGTGTCAACGTTGTTTCACGGGTCGTTCGTCGATTCCACGTGATAATCGGAAGGATCGGTCTTTTGAATCTGACGAGAAACCCGCGATACATCGGTCCGTTCGTTCTGTGCAACACCGCGATTCTCGTTACGCGTGCACGGTGAGAAAGACGTAGACATCTCTCGGCAAGAGGGTCATCGAGCAGCCCGCACGAATGGTTCCTCTCTGAGGAGGATCGACGCCCGCCTGTACAGTGAGTGACATCGAATATTAACGAGCGACAAGGACATGGAGAACACCATGCAACCGCCACTTCCGCCTCCACCCCCACCCTTGGAAATCCTTCCAAACAGCAGCACGGAGCACACGGTCACCCATGTCTTAACATTTGGTACGTAGCCTCGTTATAATCATGATTTGATACCAATTCGTTGCGACGATTATTTCGCTTATCTACGATTACGATAACACTGTTTCATCGATACCGTTTCCTCTGTACATTTGCACGTACGTCGAGCAACTTGGAAAAGTTTCATGCTTGACGCAGATGTATTCCGGGAAACGACGTCCTTTCCCAGTAAGAATAATTTTCTGTTTCCCAAAACTCTATGCTAGCAGCTTTACAAAATTAAAAGAAATACAATTATTAAGAGTTGTCATACAATTTAATATTCCTGATTTAAAAATAGTAAATACCTTCATTATAAGAACAATTATAATATTATTATAGTAACGATTATAAGAAATTAATGGAGTTTGATTCACGAAAATTAAATTGTCATTAAATATTATATTTTACTTCTGCTGTCTGTCGAATTATTGCTTTTTTTCAAGTGAATCTAGCACAGCACATAGAGCTTAATAATATCTGAAAGCTCCAAGAATAGACTATTGGTATAGAATGATATTGAGACACTGGTTTCTGTTCCTCCTCTTTTTCTAGGAATAAAAGGTGAATTTGTATTGAAGCTTCCCAAAGAACAGAAATGACACGTATGTGTTGAACATCTAAATTTAGTGACATGCCAGTCAGAAAGTGCTAGCCTCTCGAGTGAGCAATATTGGTCGCTTTGTTTATTGGTCGATGAAACAGGTTATCGTATGACAGTGGTGGAAAAATATTTATTGGCCCATGTTGACATATATCCCAGGATTTTAAAATAAACGTATTGGCGTTTATTAATTAGTTCTCTACATATACCATATTGTCTATTATATAATTGATCGATTCGGTAGTATTCGAGTTTGCTTCGCATGCACAGGAGTACGTATTCTATTTAATTACAATTCCATGCCCTGTTTTCCATTACTCTGCTAATTTGCTATTATTTTGTGTTATGTAACACAATCGGTAGAAAAATATGCCGATATTTACTCAACACATTAAAATGTTATATCAACATTACGAAATATCTTAATCTTGTAATACAGAGTTTTGTAAGAAAATTGGATACGTAGATTTAAACGAAGCCAGAAAGAACAACGCATCACAGCGGAATAAATCGTGCATTCTTCGTTAGTTAAAAAAACGCGTTACATCATTCCATTCCTTCAGTCCAAAGACAGTAGGTCCGTAATATTCAAACATTTCTCATTCTAAAGCTAAAATTGTAAATCTATTATCGCATTTAATTAAGCTATCTGCGTATAATGTATCCAATTAACTAAATTTTCCGTAATTCAGAGAGAACTACACAATCCCGAATGTATACTTAACAACAATTTAAGTGGAGTATTGATCGTACCTACAGTTTATTTATCGAGGATGGATATCTATCTCTTTATACAATTCGAGTATGTCAATTAACAATGTTTATGTAATTATATTAATGCAACGTAATGGATCGCATGTTGCTATAAATACAAATAAATAGTAGCTTGCTTTTCCTCATTCCCATTATTCTCATGGCTTATTTAATCAACTAAACAGCGTTTGATGAAAAGAACTCGTTGGTAAACGAGTTAAAGAACATTAAAAAGGAACAAGAAAATACTGAATTTATGTCCATCCTAATTTTTTTGGTCAATTATAATATGCAACATGTAATGAAGTAACAGGTAAATTAATCGTGCAAAAATTTAATGTCTATTGCCATCCCTGTATTTTTTAGTCAAATTCATGTAATATGTGAATGAAGTAATAGATAAATGAAGCGAAGATTCAAGTGAAATAGAAATGAGCGTTCGAATTCGAACTGCGAATTGAAGTTTTTCAAAACTGAAGATATTCGAACACGTTTCGAAACTGAGAATTCTTGAATGTCTTGAAAGTTGTGATAGTTTCGAGGGCTTGTTTATTTTGAATGATTGGAAATGTTGGATGTTTGGAGTACTGGAATAAGTGAAATAAAAGATACAAACTGAGCAATATCTGAAAGTGAAACACGAATAAGGGAAACCTTTTTCTATATCACAGACTTAAGGAATGTGGAATGTTTTAGATCCTATCACTAACTGTAAGCCACTTATTTTCCATGGGAGGTATTTCTATTAATTAGATAATCTCGTGTACAGGGTGTCCCAGGTTTAAACGATCCAATTTCGCCAGTATGTTCTACGAGTGGAGATAAGAAAAAATGTTAGATAAACATAAGTCTGCGATCATTTCATTAAGAGTTAAAACTTACTGATTCGATTAAAATGTTTGTTTTTATTTCAAAATGGTATCCCGAATATTAAATTTAACATCTTTCGAATAATTTCAGAGATCATTCCTCTTCAAATTTTATATTCATTTTGATCCGCTGGATTATAAATGCATAATGAATTCTTCCTAATGAGTTCTTGTCTCGAATTAACTCATACGCAATCGCTTTTATTGTTTTTCCATTTCTCATATTTCTTCCATAACTTTTTTAAACCACGTGCAGACCTACATTTTTATAATATGTTTTCCTTATTTCTACCCATAGAATATATTGTTGAACTCTGAACCTTTAGAACTGAGATACCCTATGCTTGATGAGATTTGGAAGAAAGAGCTCGGTATAAGTTTCTTCCGTTTACTTTACTGGGCACACACGCTCGATCGTTAATTCGATTCTTGCGGTATCAAGAAACAGGATTAAACCGTATTACGCAACGAACTGGGCACTCGGGCCTGGTCGGTCCGTTCCTGGGCGGATCTCGGTGTTTTCCAAATCAGCTGTTAGTCGCCGGTGAAGGGTGACTAGCAAGGCGCGCCTCATGGTGGGGGTCCCGTTCGTCACTTCATCAGTCGGCTGCGAGACGCGAGCGAGTGCGGTACCGAGTCTCATAGTCGTCTACCGTCGCGTTCTATGCGCACGTACCCTCGTGCGCCCACAAGCTTGGTTGTCACGTTACGTGGCCGTCGAACAACAGTTGTTCCACGCCGTGTTCGCGTGTGATCGAGTGAAAGTGAAACGTCCAGCAACATTCGACGTTAGTTCTTCGAGCGTGTCGTGTCGAGAAACATCAAGAGGCTTGATTCTCTGTCGCATACGCAGTGGCGAGGACAGCCGGCGTGCGAAGTGCAACGTTCAATTTCTACGTCGCGATCCATTAACCGGGCAACACGGCGACGATCGTTCGGTGAAACCATATGCTCGTGATGTTACGTACGTGCGATCGTGCATACGTACGCGGATAGTGGAAAGTTCCATGTATCGATGAAGGGGAACACCGTGGCGTATCGTGGAAGTATAGCAAGTATTTAAAAATAAATACCAACGCGAAGTCGTTTGCGTCCCGTTTACGGTGCATCATCGAAACTTGGTATCCAGGACATGTGGTGCTGCTGATCCATCCAGTTCTTCTCTTCCTGAATCAACCTCGGAGATACACGCGTGTATCAGCTGCGGCCAGACAAATCGTGTAGATATTCGCGAAGGTGGCCAAGGCCGAGGCTTGCTCTCCGTACAAGGTACGCGACTTAAAGTGTGTCAGTAGGATAACGGCAGCCGATCCGTTTCGTTCGGCCTGACTCGACTCGCAGGAATTGGAACACGACTGCATAACTAGAGAAAGGGATTGCGACATTGTCCGATCTGCATTTTTCCGAGTTAGATCGTAATTCGTCTGATTGCGCATTTAAAATGAGAATATCCGTCCCGTTTGCGTCGTCGACGATCGCACTACGTGTCATTTTTATGTCAAAACAATATATATAGATTGAGGAATATCGCTAAGGTCTTCTTTGAACGTAAACGTGTTTTCAAACGGCTTGGTCAATTAACGCTGATAATAATCTCTTGCTATTCTCTTACGTTGTTCGTCACTCGATTGGCTTAAACATATTGGACCTTCGTTCTGGGTGAATACGGAGCATGCGTTTTGTTCGTGTTTAGATGTTCATAAATGTTTCTCGTTTCAAAAGTTTTGTAGCTTACTTACATTTATAAGCAAATATTTAGATATCAAAATCGCGCAAATATATTTGGCGTTTGTTTAAAACAAATGAGAATTTTAAGGTAGTTCGATAACAAGATTGACACTACGTAAAGTTTGATGAAATATTTCGTAGTTTAATTTTTACAGACCGAGGATATCTATTTTAATTTTGGATATTTTACGAGAAACACCATTTTCGTTACTATAATCACGTAATTAATTTATTCATAAACTGAGTAAACTGTTTTCAGTAGATATTTCAAAGAATTTCCAGTAATTCATTCATTCTGTATATTTTCCATATACCCAATTTTTGTATAAATGTTTAAAACTCAGAATCTGGTCATAAGACATAAAATATGTACAAATGAAATGTTTAATAACTTTTTTTCAGATATCTTTGGTCTCTACAAATTTAACCACGTGTTTTTAATAGTTTTTCTCAGCAGTATATTAAACTTTATCAAAATCTTATTTCCCCTAATTAAAATTCCGTATGGAATATGCTAGAAATCTCAAACTTTTGTTCGCGTCTGAATGTTAAATTCTGGTTCGTTTCTTTGCTACACAGTCGCGTTTTATCATCGATGAGAATAGAACGGGATCAAGGGAGGATAAGAGAAAAAAATTGTTTCTGAGGAGCGAAATTGAGTTGTTGTCGTGTGCCGCGCCGGTTTTCAGCGGATACAATCGAGGATATCCGAGTGTGAGCAGGTTAGTCACCGATTGTGCTCGTGGTATCCGGCGTTCGCGGATAATATGGTTACGGTAAACCTAATATGCTCGTCCGATATACACCGTTTAACCGAGAAACGGTGGTTATATATTAATATGTTGCTACAGGGTGTATAGTTCGAATGGAGAGCACGTGATACGCGCGCCGTATCCGGGTCACCGGGTTCGGTTCGGGTTTAAACTTTCCGCGTAATTAGCACACATGCACACAAGGTCCAATAATGTTAGAGCTGATTGATAATAAGATTTATTTGACGTCATTCTACTTGCGTACTCTTTTCCTTTTGCTCACTGGTTCCGTAGATG